GGTGGGCCTCTGTGAGCTCTAAATGACTTGCAACTTCGACCAGTTGCTGAGTGGAGGGTCCTTATAAAGGTACTATTGGAGTGGAAGAGGAAAATAGCCGCGAATGGGGTCTTACCTGAGGCACGTCATTGAGAATGAGCGGCTCTGAGCGGCTTGTCGGGCGGTTTCTTCAACGATCGTAGTGGTGTTTAGCCACAACGATCGGATGGCCTAGTGGATAGCGTGGAGGATTCTCAATCGGACGGTGAGGGTGGGTTGATTGATGGTTCGACTCCCCTCGGCGTGCGAGTTTTTGCATTTTTTATGTTTCGCTGTTTTCGCTTCTATAAATGTCTGCTTATGAATTTTACTCGGGTTCCTACCATTTATGGGCACATTCTAAATAGTTATACCCCACAAACAGGTGCCATTCAACAATTCCGATTTCCACATACCATTAGGCAAGAACTTGTCTCAAAGTTGAGCTTTATATGTTATTCGGTGCCCTGATCACGACTATGGCATTTACTTTCAGCTGCAGTGCCATTTATCGCCAATTTGGACCCCATTCACGGCTATTTCCTCTTCCACTCCAATAGTACCTTTATAAGGACCCTCCACTCAGCAACTGGTCGAAGTTGCAAGTCATTTAGAGCTCACAGAGGCTCAAAAACCACCGGTTTCCATAGATTTCTTTTTCACTCCTTTTTTGGTATTTCCAGAGCGCGTAGGAAAAATGAACGTCAGTTTGGTACTCCATGCACGTGACCCTACATCATGCAAAAAACCGTTTTCAAAAAGCGCTCCACGTCCTGAACTTCCTGGTAAGAGCTTCACAGCAGCACAAACTGTTACATGAAGTTCTCGCTGCAAAAAATATAGCATTATCGGGAAAGTGGCCTGTGTTTAGGTTCCCATTGATGAAAACTTGGCTGCTTTGCCATTTAGTTGATTTGATTCAGCTATAACTATCACTGTTAATTTTCCAGCCTACGACGACAAGCAGAAAATTTGTGTGAAGAGTTGGCGTGGCCTGTCTTTTTGCTTCCCGACTGCGGAAAGTGCCAACGTCGAAGTTACTGTGAGTGGCTTGGTTGCGTAGATTGCCATAGTTGATATGTAACTGCCGGCAGAATTCAGATTTCCTATTTTTTCGAAGAGTACTATGGCACAATTTTGACTGTGGGGAGGCTGGGCATCTTGTGTTCTCGCTTCTTCCCGTTGTCGTGTCAAGTAGAGATTTGTGAAGTCATGTGAAGCCATGAAGTAATACCAGTCGAAGTTTCAAAAAACTCGTCAACTCTTGTACAGCAATGAGTACGACAATACGAAAATGCAAAATGCCCCCTCCTCTGCGACGCTGAACGGCGCCAATTCTTTTTTGCTTCGGCATAGCCTGAATCTACTATCACCTTGACCGGCATTTAGCTTATAACCTCCTTTATCTGGTTCTCGAATAATGCGTCTTGCATACTGTCTCTTAACGCTTCGCTATAGCTTCTATAATCAAACGTCTACTTATTGCTTGCTGAGCAGGGAAATTAGTCGAAGGGTTGTGAGCTGATCGGATAACTCATTCGTTGCAGCCTGGTTTTGGTCCGCTGCGATCGCTGAAGTTTGACAGTGCAACACAGCCGCGACTGACAAAAATGTCGATCTTCAAAGGAACGGCCGTTGGAAAAACCGAGTGAGCGGTCTTGTCAAATTTCAGAAAAAATTTCAGTTCTCTGATGAATGGGATCAGCCTTTATTCATTAGCTAAGTTCTACCTAAATGAGCGAGTTTCCCCTTGTGATTCGTGGCCTCGCCGTATGAATTCTACGTAAAGTGTTGGAAACACGGCTTAGCGTTGATCGAGCACAAATATGGTCATTCAATAAGCTGAGCGGGTAGAAAACGCTAACCTTAGTTATGGGCAAAAGTTTTGACCTCACAAACCCGCACTCGGGGTGCGGGATGCTGGGTTGAAGTTCCGCCTTGAGCGGAGGGAGATTTTCGCACGTCCATTATCAGCTCTTTTCGTTATAACAGCTTTCGGAGTGCGAACTGCGGCGTTAAACAGCATTACCTTAATGAAACAATATGGGTTGTTCAGTTGATTTTGCTGTACGCTTCATTTTAGAGAGGTGGTGTAGTACAAGCACTGGCCGCATATTTGTGGCAGAACCGAAACGATTTTGTATGCCTGGTCTCGGCAGAAACGGAAAATAACTGTGTGTGGATGTGTTATTCCAAAACGCAAAGTAGGTTTTGATGATTGTCACCATCTGTATCCATTGACGTCGTGGGCCAGGACGTGAGGGTTGCGGTGCCGCGCTGTATTCGTTTCCCTGAAGTGGAAGCACTGAAGGGTTATGCTTTGCAGCTCATAATGTACACCCACCTACTTGAGACGCGGTATGCCTGGCTACCTACTTTATATGAACATGGCGTAGAATGGATTATTCGTGGGATATATTTTAATTGTAGGTAGCTGCTGTGTTGGACACAGTCATTATTAGGAGTTCTGTAAAGGAAATATTTCTCGAAAACACTGTTCCGTGAAGTACGCAGCCACACCAACCCCATCTCAGGGATTCGGAGTAGGTACACTACGCGCAACGCCACGACATCGTAATCCTCATGGCATAACCCAGTTCATACTCTTTGAATAAGGACATTTTAGATGGCAATGTTACCTCTCGCATAAATGGTGAGCTCGAGCTGGTAAAGATTATGCGAACAATATCGTTCGGAGATTCTGTGGCTGTAAGATTACATAAATTTATTTGACTTTTATGGCAGGCTCAAGCTTCATTATTCGTCTGGGGCTGACTGATATCGGCGCTATTTACGTTTTACTACCTACCTTTCGAAATTAAGGCTAGATTTTGTTCTAAGATCTCTTTTGGGAAGATCTGGCTAAAGTTTGGCTGGATAATTCTGCCCCTAGAGCACTAAGATCACATTTGCAGGCGCTGAGCTAACACCGAAGTACCTCTAGTTGGCCACAGCTCGTAGCCGGAGTACCTCAGCACCGGAATACGAATATGAAGTGCTTTTGGAGGCGGAGTGCTTGGCACCTGTGATACGGATGCCAACGCTACATTTAGCAGCCGTGATAGAGATGCCGGCGCTGCGGCGAGTTGCTGTCGGTCCAAAAGGTCATGATATTCGCGTACGAGGGTCAAAGTGTTCCCGGAGATGAAATTCGCAATCCACTCGCAAAACCAACTCGCATCGGAAGAGTATTCCTCAAAATCGAGCCTGAGTTTCGAAAGTGGGGAAGTAAATTGTAGATAGTGCCTATCATTCTGCTGTCAGAAGGTACTGAACAGTAGGTGCATAGAACTGTTTTAGCGAGTGCTGTCGGCGCTAGGTGCACCATCGAAGGTGTTCTATAAATCTGAGGACAAGATGTCGATTCATCGTGGAGGATGTAAGGAGACGCTCAGTCCGCAACCTCACTTTTTCTTCAATTACTTCTCGATGGGATTGGTGAGCTTGTTCACTACATTTTTTCGACCGTCAGATAACGAGAAGCATTTATGTAATTGTGCTCATGATTAGTGGGTAACTAAAGATTTCTGGGGATTCCAATAGAGTGAACAATAATGGCCTATACTTTCTATTTACCTTTGCTGGTTTTGTTCTCTTCTTGGAATATCTGACTTCTGATACTGACTAGAATCATGCAATCACATGGGACGGGTAGTGGTGTTCCTTGAGGACGGAGACGATACTTAGCCAAAGAACAATCATAAGATCTCAACCAGTTATTCTTATTCTGAAGAGCATCACTTGACATTGTTTCCGACGCTGCTCTTGCCTTTGAAGCTTACAAACTGATTCCGTCACAGGAGCTACGAGCGCTTTCTTACACGCAGGACTAGGCAGTAATGTCCTATAGGTCCGCTGTAGTTAACAGTTAACCAATAAATTCTTGCTGTTCTTCCTAGCGTTAGTTCCGTGCAGTCGCTTGAGCCCCTATTTCTCACTGAAGGCATCTCTCGCCATGGATTTCAGTGAGTCTCTCCATCCTTCTTTCGGCTCTTCATGGTCGCCTGCCCTCTCCTTCGACATTCAGAGCTTTCCCGTCCTGTGTTCTTCAGCCTTTTCGACCGTGTCCATATCATCGCGATCGCTGCTCTTGTACCTTTAGTCAAAAGGGAGTTGTCTGCCCGGAGGCCTTCGTTCTCATTTGTTTTGTCCACTTGAGTCCGGCCGCATCTCCTTCGCTATATTCTCACGTCATCGTCAGGGCACGTCCTGGCAGTGGGTAGAATTTTTGCTAAACATGATCCAATCTAGTGCAGCTCTCACAGTCCTCCAAACATGTTACCAAAACTTGCCGTCGAGTGAAGTAACGGGAAGGGGTGCACACCAGTAATTCGCTATTAGAGAAGGAGGACTATCTGGTGCGCGTGAAACAGGAAAAATCAACAGTCCCAAAAAATTCCTCATTGACCAAATACGAC